CAGCTACTCAGGATGGACTGAGCCAAGGAATTCAGTCTGGGCAACATAGCAAGGCCCTGCCTCAAAATAAATTTAGACATTGTGGACAGGGTGGTACTGCCCTGTAATATCAGCATTTTGGGAGACTGAGGTAGGCGGCTTTTTAGTTTAAGGCTAACCTGAACTACATAGTGAGACTACCTCAAAGAAACCAGGAAACTCTACCAAGATAGAGAGTAGCTCAGTGATCCTACATTTAGAAGGGACTGGAAGATGACTGCTAGTAGATAAGTGTTTTGTTCGGGATAACAAAAATGACTTAAGTTTGAGTGTGGTTATAGTTGTACAACTCTGTCAATGTGCAGAAATGTACTTACTGATGCTTAAATTTAAAGTTTGTAAATTGTGTTATGTATTCTTTTAGGTTAATAGTTTTATTTGAAATTTTAAAAAACCAAGTTCTAGTTTTCAACAGTACTAGCCCAGTTGTCATGCTAATACCATGTTCCTGTTGTAGCTGCTGAAGACATCTCATTCCTCTGGGGCGCAACTCTCACTTAGCCTTACCAATCAACAGCCTCCTGCTACCACTCTCTCCTCCTCCATCAGTCTAGGGCACCGCAGCTATCACCACTAGCCCCAATTCTTCCTGGCTACTCTGCTAAGTCATAAGGAGGAATAACATGAGAAGCAATGGCTAGCATCCCTGCTGCTAGCTAAAACCCACTGCATACCATACTGGGACTTGGATAGCTAAGGTGACATGCAAGCTTGCTTAGTTTGGATACCAAGTCTTCAGTAAAATCTGAAGGCTTCAGAGGGAAGCGGCTCAGGCAGATCCAATACCAGCCAGTTATCAAAATGCCTGGATGGGGCCGGGGAAGATAGCTCAATAGAAAATAAGCGCTTGCCTGGCAAGCACGAGGGCCAGAGTTCAATCCCCGGTTGGGGGGAGGGCGGGGGGAGCCTGGTTCTGGGTTGTTTCAGAACTCCTTCACAGCCTACTCCTTCCTCAGCACTGAACACCAACACCAACTTCTACTCTTAGCCAGGGGCAGGCCACTTATTCAAATACAGGACTCTAAAGATAACTTTCTCCTACATGCTCTCCCAACCCCGCTGGGAAGTTATGAAATACGTATTCCATCAAAGTTGTTCCAACTGGCCTAATCGGCTCTGGAAAGAACTTCCTCTCATCGCCATCTTGGCGGCTCGCCTGCAGAGCAACTGTGTGGCTGGTTGAAGCCCATCAGTAACTCTACTCCCTTTTCAAACTGTCAACACAGCGGTATCATAGCCTCATTAAAATTGGTCAGCACAATGTGACAGGGCTGGAGAAAGCAGGGCAGAGAAAAGGGTACAGAACCTCCTTCATGGCTCTGCCTTACCCTTCCCTGGTGACAAGGTAGCACGAGCTAAACAAGAATGCAAGACCAGGAAAAAAGATTGCACCTTCCTTTATCTAAATTGACGATGTATGGATTAGGAAGATGTGAGGGGCAGGGTATAAGCATCTCTTGCAAAACGGCTTTCACCTCTACAGGGGCAAGTGCCATCACTTTTCAGGACCTGGGTTCCCATGGCAAGAATGAACTAAAGGCACGAGCACAATGCTGAGAACAGGTCATTTAGTGTCTAGGCTAGGTTCTCTGTAGGTTTTGTTTTTAAACAACAATGCAGGGGACTGAGTGTGGGACTTTGTGCATGCTAAGCAAGTACTCTACCGTGAGGCACATCCCAGCCTCTCTAGGCTGTTTTACTTCACCAGGACACTGTGGGCCAGTTCTTAGCTCTGCCCCATCCTTGCCCCCTAATTTCTACAATAAGCAATAGCTTTGTTTCAGAAGACAGAACTGTGGCTTCAGAGGACATGCTTTCTTTGCATTTTAGGGAGGGGTCTACAGGGTGTTCAGGGTCTCACTACTAGATTGGACTCGTAGTGATCTGCCTATTTAGTTTCCCAAAAGCTGGGATTACAGGCCCATGCCACCACACCCAGTCTCAATTGCTGTCTCAGCACGCTCCAGGAGGGGGCAGGCACTTTAACCTGCTTAACTATTTGGCTAGCCCAACAGGCTGGCATTTCACAGGTGTTTGTGGATCACAATGCCATTAGCTCTTCAAGTCTTAACTATTGGTCCAGTGCTCGCAGCTCCCATCCAGTTGGCCCTCCCGTACTACCCACGCAATGAAGCTCTTTCACACAGAAGACAACTCCAGAAGTAGGGACTGCTGTGATATCACCAGAAGCTTCTCAGATTGTTTCTAGGACAGGACCTAAGGCCTCATATGCTAGGGAAGCTCTCTACCACTGAGCCACACTCCCAGCCCTGCTTCTCAGGGCCTCACAATTTTTAAACAAGTTTGTCTTTTTTTTTAAAAAACCACTGAACCTTACACTTCTCCTAGTGGACAGAACCACATCAAAGGTGCCTGGGAAAATGAACTGTAAAATGACAGAAACCCTGGCTTGAGGATGCTAAAGCATCTCATGTAAATTATCAATAAACAAAATGAATGCCCAACAGCAAGGCTCTATGACAGTGGTGCCAAACTATGGCATGCATATTACGGTCCTGGAGACAAGATATTTATGTAATTTTTTAAAAAGTGAAAACCTCAATGTTCAGGGTTGTTGGCACTTTGCAGGAATAAGGTGGGTTTTGAGTCAGTCTGCCACTCCGCCCTTAAAAGGTCTGCCATTATTGCTCTGTGCAAAAACAGAATTAAGAGTCTACGTCTTTGGTTTCCTTTCCTTAGGGTTTTTGTTTTGTTTTTGCAACAGGGTCTCAGCATGTAGTTCAGGCTGGCCTTAAACTCGAGATCCTCCTACCTCAAGCTTCCCACATGCTGGGATTACAGGTATGTGCTACTGATCTATTTCTACTGACATAGTCCATCCATTTCCTTTGACCCATTTGCATTACTGCTCCTCCTCTTCTCCATTTCTATTTCTGAATCTTACTTGCTCACACAGCTCAAATACTTTTCCCTCCAGGACATTTTCCCTAGAAAGAACCATTGTCCTACTAACATCACCTTCCTGCCTAGATACTGTGAGCTCCAAGGACTGGCTGGTCTTTACACCCAACCTGCTTCCTTTCATTCAGCCAATAAGCCTGAATATCCCAGGTATTTGGAAGATGCTAGGAGGTCCTATGAACTTAATAGAAGCAGGAAAAAGTTGACAGAAGAAACTATTTCACAATGAATTTTAAGGGACAGTGGCCCTGTATAATTGAGGAAAAGTCATACAAGTTAAACCAGAAGTCAAAAACAGTGTTTTGTTTTTAAATAAGTCTATTCAGTACAGGTTGGCCTTGAACTCATGGTACTCCCTCTTGCCTCAATCTCTCAGTGGTGGGATTATAGACATGTGCCATGACGCCCAGCTCAAAGTGCTTTAAACTTTACAAATGAAAAAGGATATTGGCAACTTGACCTTTAAGTACACAAGTTGGGGACTCAACTCAGACTATCTTAAGTTTTTCTATACAGATTCCCGTCTTCTATATACGTATTCCAATAACTACAGCTAAAATAATCTTCCACTATTAAAAAACACAAAAACAGTAACAAACCCCCAACTGTAGACCAGACTGTCATACATGTTTTCACTAAACAGCCGCCATTGAATACAGACTGGGAATACCTTCCTTCCCTCAATATCCTTAAGATGCCTCAGAGAAAATTCTGGTAGGGCTGGGCTGGCCAGTGCCTGTGGGTGAGGCTTTTCACACACAGCTGCCTCCTTGCACGCCTATCTTGGCAACAAACCATTCTGTTTCCCTCTCTGTCAAGCCATGCATATGCATTTCAGTCTTAGTGTGAAACTCATTTTTTTCCTCCAGCCTGTGTCAGCAAGTGTCACAGATCATGACATGAATGCTGCATGACCTCACAAGCCATTCTATTACACCCCTTCAATTTTAGACTGGGAAGGGACCCAAAGTTCAACACAAGGTCATACAGAAAAAGTGGCAGAGCCAGAATCAGAATTCAGATCTCTTCTGGGACTTAGGTTAAGGCCTTTGTGTAGCTGAGTCTCACTATGTAGTTCAGGGCAGCCCTGATCTTGCTATGTACCCCAAACTGGACTTGAACTCATCATCTTCCTGCCTCAATTGACAAAATACTCCTTTATACACATGTCATCATGCCCAGTTTGGTTAGGATCTTTTTGACATTGTATCCTTTTCCTTAATTCACATATTAAATTTAACATTATTTACTGGTTTTCATTAATCTTAGAGCACACAATTTGAAACATTATTAAAAGGTGCTAGGGACTGAATCTAAGGCTTCATGCTTGCTAGATAGACAAGTACTCAGCCAGAACTCTGTATCCCCAGTCCCCAAATACTTCTAAAAACTCTGCATTTATCCTCTACTCATCAAAAATGAGGATTAGATACTCAAAGACCCTACACATGTTAATTTTCCCATTAACCACTAAGGTAACATAAAAAAAAAAAAAAAAACCACCATCCTCTTTAGTATTGTAACAGCCTACTTTACAATTACAGCTCAATTTAAAAATGTAAGCATACAACTAGGATTTACCAAAGAGTAACGTGTTTATTTCACTTAAAGTCTTAAAAATACTTTTTTGGCAGTTGTCACATATGATGTCCTACTGTTAAGAAAAATTCATTAAAAAGAAAAGCATGAAGAAAACAGACCCAAAATGTTAAGATTTTATTTACAAAGCTTGTTTGTTGTACAGAAAGTAAAAATGCTGTTACAATCTCAATGTAACTGGTAGCCATAGACAGTTGACTCACCAATCACAGCTATCCACGCAACAGCAAGTCTTACACAAAAAATCTAACAATGCTTACAATTTTGCTGGGGCAAAGTACCCAAGCTTGGTGGTGGATTACCAAGAGGGACTAAATGG